AATTAATAAGTTGCTTCTTGTTGTCTTAGTCGTTATTCACTGTATAAGAGGCAGACATGGGATCCTATCCAGAAACACTATTGGAACAAATTTTTCTATTCACTGAATTAAGAGAAAGGAGCTGTATATCTATACTAAATATTTTCAATATAGATATACAAAATGGTCGTTTATTTGTATCTATTTTTTAGTTTAGTTTTATCAAAGAAGGATATTCCATTATGATTTAAATATTTTATGTGCATGCATTCGGCAAAATATTCCAATATAGTCCAGAAGAATAGAGATAAATACTTTTTTTGCAGATCATTCAAAGCTATATAGAGTATAATTTACAAAATATTGAGCCTTTAAATAAAAGAAGTAAACTATTCCAATAAAAAATACACTGCCATTAATCCATCCCTAGTATTCCCATGAACTGTGAACACTTTGTACTGCATCCAGGAGGTTTTCTTTCATAATTGTGTCTGTTCATGGCTGTTTTTATGTCTTGAATCATTTCAAAACATATACATTTATTGCCATTAAACAGAAATATTACAGTTAAAATTACAGTTTATACTTGTTCACCTTATTGAGCAAATTTAACATTGTCTCTTGCTCTGCTCTAAAGTCAAAGTGACCCTGAAAGGCAAACATTTTCAACTAATTGAGGCCATCCAGGGAGCCACAACAGCAGCACTAACCACACTCCCATGGAGAGGACTTTGATAACTGCCACACAAACTGAGAAGTATGGATTCAAAGTGAGAGGGAATATTTTGAATGTCAGATGGCAAAATCTCTTTTATTGTAATAAATTTTAAAAATTCAAATGTTTGCTACATTTTGTGATATTCCCCAAAACTGTTTATATACCACAATGTTAAAATAAGCAAAGGGATGGATTCTACAAACAGGCACATTCTTTACTGCCTGCTGCTTTTCTAACAGTATCATGTTACTATGTCTTCGAGTGAACTCATCCCCACTCTCCATGAACACATTTTAATCTTTTTTTCCCCTCTTGCTCTTAGTGAAGAATGTCCCAGGATTTCAGGATTTCCAACAGGTCCAACTTCCAGGTCTCCGAGTTCATTCTGTTGGGCTTCCCGGGCATTCACAGCTGGCAGCACTGGCTCTCCCTGCCACTGGCCCTCCTCTACCTCTCAGCTCTCGGTGCCAACACCCTCATCGTGATCACCATCAGGCAAGAGGCAGCCCTGCACCAGCCTATGTACCAATTTCTGGGCATCCTGGCCGTGGTAGACATGGGTCTTGCTACCACCATCATGCCTAAGATTTTGGCCATTTTATGGTTCAATGCTAGGGCCATCCGTCTCCCTGAGTGCTTTGCTCAGATGTATGCCATCCATTGCTTTGTGGCCATGGAGTCAGGAATCTTTCTCTGCATGGCTATAGATCGATATGTAGCCATTTGCCAACCACTGAGATATCCATCAATAATTACTGAGCCTTTTGTGATCAGAGTAACTGTGTTCATGGCACTCAGAAACTTTCTGGCTCCCATCTCAGTGCCTGTGCTTGCTGCTCAAAGAAATTATTGCTCTAGGAATCAGATAGAGCACTGCCTTTGCTCTAACCTTGGCGTCACTAGCCTGTCTTGTGACGACAGGAAAATCAATGGTATCAATCAACTAGTTCTAGCTTGGACAATCATGGGCAGTGATCTTAGTTTGATTGTTTTATCATATGCTTTGATACTTCATTCTGTCTTGAAGCTTAATTCAGTAGAAGCTGCATCCAAGGCCTTAAACACCTGCACAGCCCACCTTATCTTAATCTTTTTTTTCTACACAGTGATAATTGTCATCTCCATCACTCACAGTGCGGGCATGAGAGTTCCTCTCATCCCTGTTCTACTCAATGTGCTGCATAACATCATTCCACCTGCCCTGAATCCCATGGTGTATGCCCTCAAGAACAAAGAGCTCAGGCAGGGCTTGTACAAGATGTTTAACCTGGAGACCAAGGGCAACTAATATTGAGAACATACTGACAAATTTTTATATTCTCCAATATCTACAATTGCTGCAAATAAAAATAATAGATGGATTGTCACATGTCTTTAGATTTCATAAGCAATCAGTCCCAACAAAGGAAGCCTTAGAACAAAAAGGTACACTGAATATTTGAAATGTCTTCATGAAAAGCAAAATTTTTCATCAAAAAAGAGTAATATAAGCTAGATATTGTGGCTTCTCCTTGTAATCCAAATTCTCAGGTAGCTGAGGCAGAAAGATCACAATAAATTCAAGGCCAGCTGGGTCTAGATAATGAGTTTCAAGCCAGTTTAATCAATATAGTAAGACATGGGCTCATAAAAAAGTCAGTAATAGCAATAAAAACCCAGAGCAACATAATGCTGTTATTTGTCATAAACTTTCCAAGAGAAAGACATACAGAATATACTATGATACATGGGCCAGGGAGATAGCTCAGTGGCATGTGCATCTCCTTGGTAAGTGCAAGGTGTTGGGCTTGATTCCTAGTTCAAAAAACAAAAAACAAAAAACAAAACCCAAAACAGTATACTGTCATAGTATCTTACCTACTACTCATAGTCATTACTTCTAAATAATGTTAATTGGCTATGTAGATAGCAGTGGGTCTGATCAATGTCTACTTTCAAATTGGAAAGTTTAATTATTTAGTACCCATTATGATTATTGGAAAGAGCTGGTTCTATAGTTTTTCTATTGCCTTATGAAGAGGTGGGTCCTTTGCAGAACAAAGTACTTGCATATTCACATGTCTAAAAAGATAGGTAAATAACTAAAAAATCACTGAAAATATTAGTTATTAGTCCAACTCCAAAGTTTCTTCACTTTAAAATAAATTTGCAAAAAAGTAAAAAAGAAAAATCCAAAAAACTGGGAAAAACTATAGCTAACTGTCCTTCGGGAATAACAGCCTTCTATACAGATGATATAAAGAATTTTTTAAAAAATCAAGCTCCCCAGATTGAAAAGTCCAATCCAAAAATGGGCACCTGTGATGAATATACACTTCTCAGAGGAAGAAATACAAATGGCAAGCAAAAATATGAAAAAATGTTCAACATCATTGGTCATTTGAGAAATGCAAATTAAATCAACACTGAAATTACATCTCACCACAGTAAGAATGCCTAATACTAAGTAACCAGCCAATAACAAATGCTAAAGGGGCTGTGGAGAAAAAAGAACCCTTCTTCACTGTTGGTGAGGGTGCAGACTGGTACAACCACTATGGAAATCAGTGTGGAGATTCTGTCAAAAGCTAGGATTAGAGATCCTATTGAACCAGCTATTCTCATCCTGGGTATTTTTCAAGAAAAATGGGAAACCTCATACCACAGTGATATATGTGCTCCCATGTTTATAGTAGTGCAATTTGTCATAGCTAAATCCTAGAAAAAAAACCCAGATGCCCATCAACTGAAGAATGGATAAAGATGTGGAATTTTTACACAGTGGAGTAATATTTAGCTATAAAACAGGATAAATTTGAGGGGGTTTTTTGTAAATGGATGCAACTAGACAACATACTCTTTATCTATCTATCTATCTATTTATTTACTTACTTACTTACTTACTTATTTATTGGCAGTACCAGGGATCGAACTCAGAACCTTGCACTTGCCAGCCAGATGCTTATGCCACTAAACTATATCCCTGACCTTTGACAACATACTCTTTAGTGAAGTAAATCAGGCCCTCATGTGGAAACACCATATTGTCTCCTGAGTATGAGAACCTGAAAGAGAAAAATTGAATCTGAAGTGTACAGTAAACAATAGGAAAAGAGAATGAACTTATTCTAAAAATAGTTACTCATTTGAAGGGTAGTACAGGAGAAGGAGTGGGGGAAAGAGATTTATCTACCTATGTAAGTAGGATGGTTTTTGACAACTGTACGGTGCATTTCTGCTGGTTTATCAAAAGGAACAGACAATAGTTAATTTGTTTCATCTTCTTCTTTCAATTGTTTGTACTTTGTCACTTCTTAATTTCTTTTTTATTTTTTTAATTTTTTTTGATAAAATTTCATGTATTAAATCCATTCAGAAATTTTATATTAGGTTTCAATATTCCATGACTAATG